CAGAGAATAAGGGCAGTATACTTAGAGGACCACTGCTTCTTTACTTAGACAAATTGATTTAAGCCTTCGGAAATGTAGTTAACATGAAATATTTGACAAAGCGAAATACAAACTATTTTGTTGAATAACGTTATCAATCATATATTTGGAAATGTAATCATGAAAGAAATGCAGTGGAGTCAGAATTTAAAAAAGACAGTAAATGAACTTTACTACCTTTTGCCTAAGTACGGCAGTTTGGGTGTATGGACGCTTGTGTTCTAGGTGGTGAGATCAAAAGCATAGTTATTTTTTCTAATAGTCGAAAGCTATTCCCTATAAGGTTTCTGTGGGATCCTTTTGCATTGTGAAGCCATCGTGTCGATTGCAACTGACTCCAGACTGAATGGTCTATGGCAGACTCTATGCCAATATCAATATATAGCTTAAAAAAATGCAACATGTTCTACGCGCTTTCAACGTCGCGCGTTAAGCGTCCCTAAGTGAATACGACATCAATCGCATTGCTCTGGATATATAAAAATTTATAGTTTTGCTTAGCAACACATTACGTTTAAAAGTACTTGAGCCAACATTAAAATTATAACCAGATAGTTCGATCGAAACGATCACCCTGTGTTGAATGTTCAGTAGTCTGTATAGCCAATATCGTTGAGAACCGATACTGTTTGGAGGGATGTTGGTAGCAGCGGTTCGGCTCAGCTTTGGCACACTCTGCACTGTGCTGGCGTTGTGTTTTTATTATTTTAATGAAGCGAGATTAAACAGTGCTTATTGAGGGTGTCAAGTTGCGCCTTTTAGATGCGGGATACGGTAACACATGCGAAAAATGAGTAGCTGGCTGCGGATGTGGGATCGAGTTCGGAGCTACACGGATCGGGTTACGATTCTCCTCTTCTCCTCTCTGATGTCGTGTCGCTCGCTATAGAGAGCCTCTGCAGGGGTGGATCTAGGAGTAAACTTAAGGAGGTAACGACCAGACCCCGTAGAAAACATTATGTAATAGCCGCGGTTAAGAAATAGAGGTGAGTGCGCAAAAGTGAACCTATATTTTATTAATGACTAGCCTCAAGATACGTGTAGGTCGTGCCACTGATAAAGTAACCATATTTCTCAACAGTGCAAGCTGGCTCTCAATTTACTAATTACATCAAATATTTAAAAAGTGATTTAAAGTGTATAGCATTACTTAAGAACAATGTTTTATGTCAGTAACAGTTTCAAGCGTACGAAATCGCGGTTAACAGCTACTGCAAAGTAAAATGTCCGTGTCGCTTAACGGTCACAGATTGAGTGGCCCAATGGCAGGCCGCACTGTTGCCGACTTGACGTGGACGGTGGAGATTTTAGTACTTGCCGTAAAAGTTGATTGCAGAAAGAACGATCAGTTCGCGGATGTAACCATGCATACAACCTCATCGGTTATTTATGAACACAAGGCACCCCCCCCCCCCCACCAAACATATGGAAAATAGGTCCCAGTCATATTGTCTAAAAATGCATCATGATATACTCATATTTCTCATCTTCCTCGACAAAAATTCTCATTGCAACAAAGCAATCCTATGATTAGTTTCTGAGAAATATAGGAATGAAGCTTGCCCGATTTGCAGAAATGATTAATACACCGGTTGTAATTCTCACAGCACGGAGAATCGGTTAACTGAAAGAAGTATTTCTTTAAGACACCTTGTAGGAAGGTGATGGGAGGTGTCAAGTTGCTGCTTACCATGATCTTTACAAAGACAATTCAAGGGTAAGTTGATATTTAGATGTTAATTAAGAGAATTCAGTCGGACAGTCCACTTCTCAGGGCACAGAAAGGTCGTGGTTGTTTCCTTCTCTTCAATTATAACCGTTGCAAGGTCAACTCAAGGTCATGTTCATTTTGAAGACGAAAGGAAAAGCGCATAAGTGTGAACGTTGCTTTAAGTTGCAACTTTTAATTATAGTTTACACTTAAATGAGACCACAGATGTTCAATAAGCTAGTTCAAGTCATCGTTGGTTGTCAGAGCGGTCCGTGGGACCTTAGCTCTTGAGTCACAGTGTCAGTTTGTAAGTCTGTCAGGTCTGGTAACCCAGAAACCAGACAATTTTATGGAAAAAAGGGAAGGAAAGGAGAGAAGGAAGAACGAGAGCAAAGGGGAAGAAGAGAATCTTTTAGGATAGGCAGCGTTTAGGCATTGTTAAAAGCACTTCACAGGTTTTGATCTGGTCTAAAAATATTCGATTTTTTCTAAAGATTTTGTCAAAATACTCCAATTTTGGTTGTTCTAAGTTCACGAGTTAATTTTGATTACAGTGCGAGCCGCGGCCTTTTGTGCTTGCGAACTTGCTCGACTGTGTAGTCCACTGACTCACGCAACAGAGGGTTGCTGTGCGATTCCGCTAGCGAACTTAGACGGAGCTGACAGCAGGCTAATGGGACGATAATCCTGGGGAAATATCGAATTCACCTTCTTTGGAATCATCATAACTTCAGCGGTCTTCCACTCGGATGGGAAGTACTGGATCCTTAGCATGGCATTGACTATTGCCACGAGATAAGTTAAGAACTTCCGCGAAAGCAGCTTCAGCGCCTTATTAGTGATTTGATCCTCCCCAGGTGCTTTAGGCACTTTAATGTCTTTAATATGACCTTGAATCTCTGCTGGTGTACAATGCGGGATCTCGGGAGATGCCGCTAATGTGCTAAGCAGATCTTCGGTTGAAGAAGCTTCTGAAGAAGAATCTTCTGATGAAGAAAAATCACCAACGATATCGCAACTGTCACTGACGCCGTTGGCCCTAAAATATCTCTTGACAGATCTTACAATGTGTTGCTCCTCGTCGAGGTCATTATCAAGATCATAGTTGGGAGAGAACTGTCTTTCCATGTCATCGGCGAAAACCTCAACATTCTCTTCTGTCCTGAAGACAATGCCTCCAGGACCGTGAATGTGTGGGATTTGTTCACGCTTTCGGTTTTTGAGCGACTTCGCCACCTTCAAGAGAGGAATGCTTGAGCCAAACGTCCCCGCCAGAAAGTCGTTCCATTGCTCATTGCGGAATTCATGAAGAGCATTTCTTACTTCATGAACAAGATTCGTCGCTCTGCGAATGTCATCAGGATGACAAGACCTTTTCGCTTGCTTAATTGCACGGGAAGTACAGCTGCACGCTGCAGAGCTTGCTGAACAAAACTTGTCCACTCTGCTCGAGCCGCATCTATACCGTTCTCATCATCTATGATTGGAAAATTGGAGAACTCTCTGAGCAGCGACTTGTATAGCTCCCAATCAATGCGTTTCCTTGGAGGGGTTTCATCCCCCAAGATCTGCTCATTACCCACTTCCAAAACGACGGGAAGATGATCGCTTGAGATGTCATACATGATTCGAGAAGTGATACTGTATCTACAGTTTTTGGATAAAGCAAAATCAAGAACATCAGGTGCCTGAAGGTGATTAAATTGGTGGTGCGTCGGCTCCTCAGTACTATGTATGAGGTAGCCATTTCGTATCACATGGTTGTACAGTCGGATCCCACTGGTGGAATTCAACCTAGAATGCCATGCTCGATGTTTGCAGTTGAAGTCCCCTGCCACAATAAGTGGACCCGAGCAGTCTAAAAGGACTTCCAGATCTGCCTCTTGCAGCCTGATAGCACACCTGACATACACCGATGTGATTTTTAACGGCATACCTCCCGTCATGTTGACCACCACGGAAGCCGCTTCGATGCTCTGCATCTCAGCGTTTGTGCTTCTGTGGTAGTCAATCCAGTCAATCTATCAGCCCGGATAACATCGTAATTCGGGAAAGCTAGACGATCTCCCGGATTAAGTAATGTTTCCTGCAGCAAGGCCACATCTATACTTTCGTCCACAAGAGCTTGATGAAATTCCCGTTTTTTAGGAATGTCCCTTAGATCCAAACAGTTCCAAAAAGGAATTTTGATAAATGCAGGCTGTCGTCGATTGCACCTGCAAAGCCTGTGTTGCGCTAATCAGAGGACCTATGATCTGCTGTAAGGACCTTGGCGCGGTTGCCAGGTCCACATTTTGCGTGTTCGCAGAAGATCCCACAGAGGCGGCAGCCCGGGTTGCATCCCTAGCTGCATCCGTGTAACTTACATTGCGCCTTTGCGCTATCACTTGCAAATTTTTCTTAGGGGCAAATCTGCAAGTTCGGCTATTCGCGAGTCATGAGTTCTTTTGAACTTCGAGTCGGATAGCCAAACCTAGCAGCTCATGTTCGTTGAACAGCTGCTGAGATTTTTCTATCTTGGCCAGTATGACTACCACCAAAGGCATGGGCACGCTGCCACCGCGTTTCAGGCGAATTATGTGCAGGGGGAATATCCCCTCTGTTGCAACTCTTCCTTGATCTACGTTTCCGAAAGTGTTGCAGGTACTCCTCTGATTACAGCATGAATGTTCCTCTCTGAGGGTAGAGGGAAAGTGTGATGGGGCACCTCTTCCTCCCTGAATAGACGAATAATTTTGCGGTAATCATCCTCGGACTTGAGAATTATCCTGATTCCTGCATCGACGGCAACCGCGCGTTCGAATTTGATGCCCAAAGAAATAAACTTGTGATTACGCCTCGCCATGTCGAAGCATCGCGAAGAACGATGGGGGTAATACGTACCCTGCGTGAGGGCTATGCGGTCATGACTTCTGATACCTGAGATGTCAAAGGCGAAGAAGTAACCGATAGATTAGGCACAGGCTGTTTATTCGAGTCGCTTGCAGTTGAACGAGACGTTTCAGACTGCGATTTTGGTGAAGGGAGAGGAGGAAAGCCTGTCGTGTCGGTCTTGTTTCGTCGCGTTTTACGGGGCTTAACCTTGATAAAACCGTCAAGGAGTGAATCGTCGTCAGTGGAAAGATCGCTTGAATTATTTAACGGTCTCTTGAGATTGACAGCTTTGTCTTTACTGGGATTTTGTTGGAGTGTTTCGGAAGTTGTGTAATATTTAGATGGGAAGGTACGGGTTTTCAGTAGGAGGTCTAATTTAACTGTTAGGTCGGTAATTGTCAGCTTCGATGATCATCATCAATCTTCCATAGGTCTTATCGTCGTTTTTTGACAGCTCCTGTCGAACCATCTCCAATTCGGCTCCTTCCACTCCATCTCCATAGCCATGGTGAAAGCGCCATTTCCTGACCCTCTGGGTCAGTTTCTATAGTAAATACCTCGGCTATCTCGCTTTTCGTCTCAAAAATTTTCCGGATCGAAATTACGGGGCAGCTGCTATCAGTGCCCTATACAGGGCGATTTCGCTATATAAGCTAGTTTAGTACCATTTCGGATGCACTGACAGCCTTTTGGAAAGTAAAAACCAAATTAATGACATATATTCAATGGAGAAAGACATTTTTTTTCATTACATCTGTCTTCAAGGTGACAGGGTTCATTTTTTTAAGCACCTGTACACTATTAAGCATTTGCATTTTTCATGAATCCACCTCCTAAGGATCACGGTCAAAATCAACATGATACCTCCCAGCACCTTCCTACAAGGTTTTTAATAAAATATTTCCTTCAGAATAATAATTTTCCGAGAGGTCATTCGCTGGGAAATTAGTTGTACACACAATATGATTTCTTAGGAATTACGGTAAATTAACCGGAATTGCGGTGAATTAAGGAGAATTATTGGGAATTACAGGGAATTATGGGGAATCATCGGTAATAATGGGGATTTATACGAGGGATTAAAGGCATTTTTTAAGTCTCCAAAGGGAAAACTGCTTATGATGAGCTAAAAATTGAGCAGGACGTACCAAATGTCTGCTTATTTCTAAAGGAGACATTTTATCTATGTCTGCGAAAGTACACTTAGTATATTTGGCAACACCGTTGCATCACCTTGTTCAAGTTCCTACCCTTGCATGAAGTCGACCGTCCTTGTTCAGCTTGTTATTATAGTGTGGCACCGATATAAAAATACGTCAAATTGTACACACTATAAATTGACCCGCTCTAACTGTTCTTAATGACCTAAAGTTGTGTTTTCTTAAAATGGAACACCCAGTATATTCTCGGTGAGAATAACAGTCCCTTCCGTCTGATTCTATATATATATATAGGGAGAGAGAGAGAGAGAGGGAGAGAGCGAAAATGATCATGCGGAGAAAAGTATATAACAAAAAGTAGGAAAATCATGGGCAAAAACCGCAAAAAGGAGGAAAGTGGATTCGAGCAGAAAATAGGATAGGTAACCCGAGCGATACGTATTTCTGCTGGTTGGCTTCATCAGGCCTGAGATGAATGCACATATGAAACTACAAAAGTAGATACACATGCCCACACATCCGGATACGGGTGTAACCTGAGGAAACGAAGATGGAGAGGGAAAAAAACGACACACGAAGTCCACAACAAGAGCCAGAGCCAACCTACACATTGTAGTATAAAACGGCTAGAAGACCTCGAATTTTCAAGGAGACATCTAACCAAAACCACGCGGCCGGTTATAGCCACTTGCTGTGGTTTTTTTTTATATTTCAACTACCACGAAGGCCTAAGGCCTAAACACCCATTGGGTACCGTGGGGCTATAGGGGGATACAGGGGAAAGGGGGAACGCCACACGGACTCTGGCGAGGGAACACGTATGCATGCAACATGCACACATTCTGGCTCCGCCTACGAGATCCGCCGGGTGGTACCTCCACGTTCGACAGTCAGAGACCATCTACCACCTACGGACAATCACAACATCCATAGCCAAGAGAAAAATTTCTCCTGGAACGGGACTCGAACCCGCACAGCGCACGGCGACTGATCAGGAGACCGAAGAGTCTACTACAGCGGCCACCGCTGCTGCCTAATGTGGTACTTCAAGCCCAAATGATCTGCAAAGAGAAACTGATCACGCGGAGAAGAGTATATCACAAAAAGTATAAAAATCATGGGCAAAATCCGCAAAAAGGAGGAAAGTGGATTCGAGCAGAAAATAGGATAGGTAACCCGAGCGATACGTATTTCTGCTGGTTGGCTTCATGAGGCCCGAGATGAATGCACATATGAAACTACAAAAGTAGATACACATGCCCACACATCCGGATACGGATGTAACCTGAGGAAACGAAGATGGTGAGGGAAAAAAACGACATACGAAGTCCACAACAAGAGCCAACCTACACATTGCGGATTTTGCCCATGGTTTTCCTACTTTTTGTTATATATTTTTCTCCGCATGATCCTTTTCTCTTTGTAGATCCTTTGGGCTTGAAGTACCACAGCAAGTGGCTATAACCGGCCGCGTGGTTTTGGTTAGATGTCTCCTTGAAAATTCGAAGTCTTCTAGCCGTTTTATACTACAATGTGTAGGTTGGCTCTTGTTGTGGACTTCGTGTGTCGTTTTTTCCCTCTCCATCTTCGTTTCCTCAGGTTACAACGGTATGCGGATGTGCGGGCATGTGTATCTACTTTTGTAGTTTCATATGTATCGCTCGGGTTACCTATCCTATTTTCTGCTCGAATCCACTTTCCTCCTTTTTGCGGATTTTGCCCATGATTTTCCTACTTTTTGTTATACTGACTTCGAAGTTGATTCATTTATTTTAACAGTGAGTAGATCTGATCAAAAGAAATGTTTTTTTCCTTTAACATTTTTGTGGTAAAATTAAAGTAACAAAGTTATAGCCCTTTAGAAGTTTGAGTACCGCCCTGTCTCCATAATAATATTATGTGCTCGTGTTTGGCAACAACGGATATAATCCGCCTTATCGGTTCATCCCATCGGAAACAAAAAAGCGAAAGAATTTGAAACGCTGATCACGATGTTTTTATTCAGTCGATGTGTCAGTCGGTAACGCGTGAGTGAATAGTGGTGTTTGCTGCGTGGCTCAAACGAAAAAAAATGGCACATGTTTATGCGGATCGGTTTCCCAATCGAGTGCAACCAACCCCTCGTGCCTTTGTTAATGTAGTACAACGGGCTCGTGAATCAGGTGACTTAAGACCTCACAGGAGAGGGCATGCCGATGCTCCAAGACCTCACGATCAAATACAGGTCCGCACTGAAATACTTGTTGGGAGGATACTTTATAAAACAAGGTAAAATTTTTTTTTAATTTTTTTTTTATTTTCACACACATATTTTGGTTTATCTTCCTTCTACAATCATTATCTGAAAATTAATGACTCAACTTCAAAGTCACCCTGTATATATATATACCCGCCGCGGCAGCATTTTGTAAAGACCCCCCCCCCGTAAATAAGAAGAATGTCCACAAGTTCAGCATTTTCGTAAACATGTGCCATTTTTTTTTTCGTTTGAGCCACGCAACAAACACCACTATTCACTCACGCGTTACCGACTGACACATTGACTAACATCGTTTCAAATTCTTTCGCTTTTTTGTTTCCGATGCGATGAACCGATAAGGCGGATTATATCCGTTGTTGCCAAACACGAGCACATAATATTATTATTGAGACAGGGCGGTACTCAAACTTCTAAAGGGCTATAACTTTGTTAATTTAATTTTACCAGAAAAATGTTTAAGGAAAAAAACATTTCTTTCGATCAGATCTACTCACTGTTAAAATAAATGACTCAACTTCGAAGTCACCCTGTATATATATATATATATATGTTGTTAAGCTTACTTTTATTAGTTTAGTCAGAAACTTGAAGTTTGTGTGTCATTTAATCATATGTATTCCGGCCCTATACCAGATTGCATAGGCGGCCTAGATGCAAACCGGTTCGAACTCGGTTACACATGAGTAAATGACATACAAACTTTAAGTTTTTGGCCAAACTATTGAAAATAAGTATGATAAACCATGTATATTTTGAATTTGAAAAAGGAGACATTTTCCCTGGAAAGGTGGTTAAGTAAAAAAATATAACTTTATATATAGCTTCTCTATACTCGTATATCTCTATAATACGTGGAATCGCGTGTCGCAGACTATGAGGGCAAACAAATTTTTGTTCGAATTGAGATACGTATACCCTCTATTATTTTCCCTTTTGACTATTACAAATCAAAAAATAAATATTGCCATCGGGGATCGATAACTCTTCCAGTCAAGCTTTGAATTTGAATGTTAAAAGGGAAACCATATATGGATTTCAAAACCTAATTTTTGTTCGACAAATAAAAGAACGCTTTATTATTTATCTTATTTCTCTTAGATATTTGTCATGAAGACAACATTATTTACTAAATTTTCTTTACAAAGTTTTTTTACAGTCAGGATAAACCTGCCTGTGTTCTTGCACGCAACGTAATAAAAATTGTTTTTGTTCCTCATCAGCAGTGATTAAACCGTGGAAGTATTGCAGTAATTTGGCGGCCCTTTCTGTCGCACCGTTAACTGCTCTCAGTATTTGAACCTTATTCTTAGCCTGTTGAAAAGCCTCATTATGTGGCCATGGAGTTGCACACTCGTCCAGAAAACTGTCATCAATTTTGAGTCGACTGAACAAAGACTTGCTTGCTTTTTTCTCTGCAATGAAAGAAACGAAGAAGCTAGCTACCATCTAAACATACTGGTTTTGTCCGTCTCACCACAGACAGACAACCATGGACAGATGTTTTGTGCTTTTTGGCAACTCGTCAGCATCGTCTAGACTTGACCTCAGGTCAGGACAACGAACTAACCTCTATTCTGAGGTATAAAATCTATCGAAGCAAAACGGTATAAGGATTGCCAATCGCAGTTTGTGCTGGCTTATTTTAAGAGTTAGCGTATTATATCGAAGCAGTAAAAGAAGACAAAGGAAAACTTATTCGTCAGACTTACTATAAAATGGTCCAGACAGTTCTTCTTATGATGGGATGTCTCGTTTACCGTGGGCTGATGGACTTTATTTGGCTAAGTTAGCAACAATTTTTACTTTAGTTTCCTCATATATGTCGTTGTCAAACGATGCGATGGTAAACGTTTCTTATAAATCTATCTCGGAATCTGGAGACGACTTTTCTTGCTCTGGTTCGTAAGATGTCAAAATAGTTAAGGAAGCAACATATTTAGCTGGCCGCATTTGTTCTTTGGTGTTCCTAAGACGCTAATTTTCTTCTTTTATGGTCAAATTCTTGTCCACCCCAGCTAAATTACCAGGTCGACCTGGCTCTCTCTGCTGCTGGAAGGAGATCCTATCTTTATTTATTTTTATCAATTGAAGGTCATCGGCATGCGCAATATTAAACAGATTGTC